ATGGCCAATGCGGCGTCAAGGTCCTTGGCCAGCGGTTTTCAAATCTTTTGTCTGTCTTTCTCCCCAGCGACTCCCTTGTGTTTCTCTTACTCCCCAGCGACTCTCTTTTGTCTCTCTTTCTTCTCAGCGACGCCCTTTGTCTGTCTTTCTCCCCAGCGACCCCCCTTTGTGTTTCTCTTTACTCCCCAGCGACTCTCTTTTGACTCTCTTTCTTCTCAGCGACGCCCTTTTGTCTCTTTCTCCCCAGCGACTCCCCTTGTGTTTCTCTTACTCCCCAGCGACTCTCTTTTGTCTCTCTTTCTTCTCAGCGATGCCCTTTGTCTGTCTTTTTCTCCCCAGCTACTCCCCTTGAGTTTTCTCTTACTCCCCAGCGACTCTTTTTTGTCTCTCTTTCTCCCCAGCGACGCCCTTTGCCTGTCTTTCTCCCCAGCGACTCCCTTTGTGTTTCTCTTACTCCCCAGCGACTCTCTTTTGTCTCTCTTTTCTTCTCAGCGACGCCCTTTGTCTGTCTTTCTCCCCAGCGACCCTTTGTGTTTCTCTTACTCCCCAGCGACTCTCTTTTGTCTCTCTTTCTTCTCAGCGACGCCCTTTGTCTGTCTTTCTCCCCAGCGACTCCCTTGTGTTTCTCTTACTCCCCAGCGACTCTCTTTTGTCTCTCTTTCTTCTCAGCGACGCCCTTTGCCTGTCTTTTTCTCCCCAGCGACTCCCTTGTGTTTCTCTTACTCCCCAGCGACTCTCTTTTGTCTCTCTTTCTTCTCAGCGACGCCCTTTGTCTGTCTTTCTCCCCAGCGACTCCCTTGTGTTTCTCTTACTCCCCAGCGACTCTCTTTTGTCTCTCTTTCTTCTCAGCGACGCCCTTTGTCTGTCTTTCTCCCCAGCGACTCTTTGTGTTTTTCTCTTACTCCCCAGCGACTCTCTTTTTCTCTCTTTCTCCACAGCGACGCCCTTTGTCTGTCTTTCTCCCCAGCGACTCCCTTGTGTTTCTCTTACTCCCCAGCGACTCTCTTTTGTCTCTCTTTCTCCCCAGCGACGCCCTTTGTCTGTCTTTCTCCCCAGCGACTCCCTTGTGTTTCTCTTACTCCCCAGCGACTCTCTTTTGTCTCTCTTTCTCCCCAGCGACGCCCTTTGTCTGTCTTTCTCCCCAGCGACTCCCCTTTGTGTTTCTCTTACTCCCCAGCGACTCTCTTTTGTCTCTTTTCTCCTCAGCGACGCCCTTTGTCTGTTTTCTCCCCAGCGACTCCTTTGTGTTTCTCTTACTCCCCAGCGACTCTCTTTTTGTCTCTTTCTCCCCAGCGACGCCCTTTGTCTGTCTTTCTCCCCAGCGACTCCCTTGTGTTTCTCTTACTCCCCAGCGACTCTCTTTTGTCTCTCTTTCTCCTCAGCGACGCCCTTTGTCTGTCTTTCTCCCCAGCGACTCCCTTGTGTTTTTTTCACTCCCCAGCGACTCTCTTTTGTCTCTCTTTCTTCTCAGCGACGCCCTTTGTCTGTCTTTCTCCCCAGCGACTCCCCTTTGTGTTTCTCTTACTCCCCAGCGACTCTCTTTTGTCTCTCTTTCTCCCCAGCGACGCCCTTTGTCTCTCTTTCTCCCCAGCGACGCCCTTTGTCTGTCTTTTCCCCAGCGACTCCCTTGTGTTTCTCTTACTCCCCAGCGACACTCTTTTGTCTCTCTTTCTCCTCAGCGACGCCCTTTATCTGTTTTTTCTCCCCAGCGACTCCCTTTGTGTTTCTCTTACTCCCCAGCGACTCTTTTTGTCTCTCTTTTCTCCCCAGCGACGCCCTTTTGTCTGTCTTTCTCCCCAGCGACTCCTTTGTGTTTCTCTTACTCCCCAGCGACTCTCTTTTTGTCTGTCTTTCTCCCCAGCGACGCCCTTTGTCTGTCTTTTTCTCCCCAGCGACGCCCTTTGTCTGTCTTTCTCCCCAGCGACTCCCTTTGTGTTTTCTCTTACTCCCCAGCGACTCTCTTTTGTCTGTCTTTCTCCCCAGCGACGCCTTTTGTCTGTCTTTCTCCCCAGCGACTCCCTTTGTGTTTCTCTTACTCCCCCAGCGACTCTCTTTTGTCTTGCTTTCTCCTCAGCGACGCCCTTTGTCTGTCTTACTCCCCAGAGACTCCCTTGTGTTTCTCTTACTCCCCAGCGACGCCCTTTGTCTGTCTTCTCCCCAGCGACTCCCCTTTGTGTTTTCTCTTACTCCCCAGCGACTCTCTTTTTGTCTCTCTTTCTCCCCAGCGACGCCCTTTGTCTGTCTTTCTCCCCAGCGACTCCCTTTGTGTTTCTCTTTTACTGCCCAGCGACTCTCTTTTGTCTCTCTTTCTCCCCAGCGACGCCCTTTGTCTGTCTTTCTCCCCAGCGACTCCCTTGTGTTTCTCTTACTCCCCAGCGACTCTCTGTTGTCTCTCTTTTTCCCCTGCGACGCCCTTTGTCTGTCTTTCTCCCCAGCGACTCCCTTTGTCTGTCTTTCTCCCCAGCGACTCCCTTGTGTTTCTCTTCCTCCCCAGTGACCGCCTTTGTCTTTCTTTCTCCCCAGCGACCCCCTTTGTCTCTCTTTCTTCCCAGCGACCCCCTTTGTATTTCTTTCTCCCCAGAGACCCATTTCTCTTTCTCCCCAGCGACCCCCTTTTGTTTCTCTTCCCCCATTTAAAATAACTTCGAACTTTAAAACTCGCACTGATGTTGGCAATTAAAATGTTAACTAAAATGTATGAAAAGTTCAGAATTCTCGCCCCCAGCGTCATTAGGTTCAGAATTTCTCCCCCAAAAAGTATATTTAAGAAAATATATTAAATATTCCTAATACATCAAGCTAATAATATATTAAGTACACTAAGCCAAAATACAGCCGATGCTATTGAACAGAAATGCATAACCGATACTAATCTCCAATTAATAAAGTATTTTATTTAAAGAAAATAGTTAAAACCGGATATGGATTGTTTCAAATGCAAAGAAGCTCTGGAATTAATGTCTTATAAAAGGCTCAAATATAGGGATGCTTGGAGATGTATGAAAAAACATGTGCTTTATCAAAATATATATATATATCAATATCAAAACGGGGACTTCTTTAAAATATATTATTAGACTAATGGTCAAATATATTACCTGACAATCAATATACAGCATAAAAATGTCTTGGATACAAATAAAAGAACATAAATAGTTAACATATTAAACCAACTCAAGAAGGAAATACCAAAGACCGACTTTAGCAGAGATAAATTGGGTGGGTCTGGTTTTGTTACGCAAATGGTTCACCCACCGACCGCTATTGGATTCCTTGACTATCATCGTCCCAGTTTATTCAGTATATATCTATTTTAGTAGATTTATTTATATCTATCTATCTATCTGTCTGTCTGTTTCTTTCTTTATTCATATCTATCTATTTCTTTTTTTGTTCATATCTATCTATCTATTTCTTTCTTTATTCATATCTATCTATCTATCTATCTATCTATCTATCTCTTTCTTTGTTCATATCTATCTATCTATCTATCTATCTATCTATCTATCTATCTATCTGTTTCTTTCTTTATTCATATCTATCTATCTATCTATCTATCTATCTCTTTCTTTGTCCATATCTATCTATCTATCTATCTATCTCTCTATCTATCTATCTATCTCTTTCTTTGTCCATATCTATCTATCTATCTATCTATCTATCTATCTATCTATCTATCTGTTTCTTTCTTTATTCATATCTATCTATCTATCTATCTATCTATCTATCTATCTATCTATCTATTTCTTTCTTTGTCCATATCCATCTATGTATCTATCTATCTCCGTTTATTCAGTATATATCTTAGTCGGCTTCTATCTATCTATCTATCTATCTATCCATCCATCTATCTATCTATCTATCTATCTATCTGTTTCTTCCTTTGTTCATATCTATCTCATTTTATTCAGTATATATCTATCTTAGTCGGCTTCTATTTATGTATCTCTTTCTCTTTCTCTCTCTCTCTCTCTCTCTCTCTTTCTTTATCTATCTATCTATCTATCTATCTATCTATCTATCTATCTATCTATCTATCTATGTATCTGTGTTTCTTTGTTCATATCTTTCTGTCTATCATATATATATTCGTGGTCTACTACAAACCTATATCCTCTCTCTGTACCATTATTATTATTATTATTATTATTATTTATGACTGGATCTGAATCCTGGACTGATTGTGACGAACATCAATATTTTTTTATTTTATTTATCTTCCACCTCCTCTCTCTTTCACTCTATATCTCTATATCCGTCTCTTCTCTCTCCCTCTCCATTCTCCTCCACTCTCTCTCCCTCTCCCAATATTCTCAGTCTTTCTTCCAGTCCCCCTCCCTAGCCCCACCCTTACAATCCAACAACGTTTATTCCTGACCGCATTTGGCTATCATTAATACATTCATTGATATCTTCCTGTTTGGAATTTCTGCTCGCCTTTCCTCTATCATGCCCCGCCCCCTGTGTGACCCTCGCGCACGCCCGTGCACCTGTGCTTCCGTATGGCCGCCAGTGTGCAGCGGTGCAAGGGTTCGTGTTTAAGAAGGCAAGGTGGGAAAGATAAAATGAATAGAGGTAAAGGGAAAAGAGAAAGCAAAATGAAAGAAAATAGAGTGGGGGGGAGAGAGAGAGAGAGAGATAAGCGAAAAAGAAGGGAAAATAACAGTAGAAAGAAAGAAAGAAAGAAAGAACGAAAGAAAGAAAGAAAGAAAGAAAGAAAGAAAGAAAGAAAGAAAGAAAGAAAGAAACAGTAAATTTCTAGATGTATAGTGAAATACACAGAAAAAACGAAATGGAGAAAACAGAAAGAAATACAAAAAGATAGAAAAAAACGAACGAAAGACAGAATCTGTATATTGCTAGATGCATATTGAAATGCATAAAAAAGAATTCGGACAGAAAGAAAGAAAGAAAGAAAGAAAGAAAGAAAGAAAGAAAGAAAGAAAGAAAGAATGTGTATGAGTAAAAGAGAGAGGAATAATAGGAAAGAGAAAAATGAA